TGTACTGGACTCAGTCTGGTGGAGGCTGTGGTAGTTGTGGTCCATTAGTCCTTTGGACTAATCTTTCCCTTGTGTCTTTGGTTTTCTTCATTCTGATTTTTCTTTTAATAAGAATTTCAGAATGAAAATCTAGCCTCTGAAGATAATAGCCTGATTTTATACTGTGTCAGGAACTGTAATAATTGCTTTAAATATATTAATCTCATTTAACCTTAATAACCATAGTAGGTAGTAGTATTATCCTGAATTATATAAAAGGAAACCGAGGCTCAGAGTGGTTAAATAACTTGTAAGCAGTGAAGTTGGAATATAAACCCAGGTTGTTAGACTTCAAAGCCCAGAATTTTCAGCAGGGCTTTGAACAAGTTCTTCCTGGTTTAGTCATGGCCGAGGAAGTGAAACTGGAACAGACTTGAATTTTTTAAATTTGGGAGAACGGGAAAAATTAAGGTTGAAGCCCTGCTAGAAACCTAATCTCCCTCTTAGAAAACAGGACAGTCTACGTGTTGCATAGCAACCAAATCTCTTTCCCATCAGATTTTGAGCAGAGTCAGAAACAGTGGTGCCCTGCTCAAAGATGGTGGCTGAATATGCCACTTTGAATGTATGTCACTCTCCACAGTCTGCCAGTAATCCAGTCTCACGCATCAGGCTCCTGAAAGGGCTCACTGTCCCTCTGAGTCCCCCCTTCAGGGCTTCGACCCGTAATTTTTCCCATTCTGGTTATTGTTCTGGCTCACCCAAATGATAAAAATTCAGGTCTGTTCCAGTTTCGCTTCGTTGGCCATGACTGACCTGGCTAGAACCAGTTTGAAGCCCTGGGTTTCAGTCACAGCAGTAAGGCTAATGAGGTGAGGTTTTTTTAAGGCTAAGCTCTTACTTAACCTGAAGATAAATGGTCTTCATACCTCACCTGTGACTTCCTATCTGTTACACCTCCCAACTGACTTTCACACACTCCTTAATATATTATTTATAATTCTTTTCATGCCTTTATCCTTTGTTCATTTAACTCACTCATAGTCCCCACCTTTCCCTCTACCTACATCAATTTTTTTTTTCCTAAGAATTTCAGGGAAAGTTCTTTGTATCATCCTAGTTTATTAAATTTAGGTAAATTTATTCAACCAGCTATTGTCCTTAAATAATGGGGAGCTATTTGTCTGCTAAGGAGCCCTGGTGGTACAATAGTTAAGTGTTTATCTGCTAACCAAAAGGTTGGTGGTTTGAACCCACCTAGCAACTCCATGAGGGAAAGACCTGGCGAAATCGCCTAGAAAACCCTATGGGGCAGTTCTGCTCTGTCACATGGGGTTGCTGTGAGTTGAAATTGACTTGATGGCACCTAACAACAGCAGCATTTGTCTGCCAGTCGCTTTTCCACATTTGCTCTATTTCATAGAAAACAAACCCCCTTTTCTTGCCTGTAAGTAAAATTCTAAGATGAACATGGCTTAGAATAGAGAAAAATGGTGGTTTTCTATGAGTATGTAGACAGCTATGTTATATTCCTTGAATACTCTTCCTTTTCTTTTAGAAAAATGAATATGGTGGGGTGGGGGTGGGAATTGACTAAACAGGGTTAAAGGGAATATTTGATTTGTAAAAGGGTTCATGTAAGTGTCATCCTGAAGCCCGTTCGCTGTGTTGGGTATTTGTGAGGAACTAAATGTGCAAGGAACATGAAGATGTAAGAAGGGCCTCAGCTGATGAATGGATGAACAAAATATGGTATATACACACACAGTGGAATACTACTCAGCCGTAAAGAGAAATGAAGTCCTGCTGCATGCCACAACATGCACGTGTGAACCTTGAAAACATGCTGAGTGAAATAAGTCAGTTGCAAAAGAACAAATATCGTATGATCTCACTTATATAAATAAGCACATATATGGAAACCAAAGATTATCAGCAGTTATCAAGGGTGGGAGGACGGGAAAGGGAAAGGGGAGTTTTTGCTTAGGGGACATTGACCTTATCTTAATGGTGGTGGAATGATTTGGAAGAGTAGTGAGAATGGTTGCACAACTTGAAGAATGTAATCAGTGTTGCCGAATTGTACGTGTAGATATTGTTGAGCTGGTATATGTTTCGTTATGTATATTTTCACTACAATTTAAAAAATGGTGTCCCACAGGTACCTTCCACACATTAAAAAAAATTCTCTTTACTCTCTGTGCTTCAGTTTGATAATTTATATTGACTTACAATCAAGTTCACTGATCCTCTCTTCTGCTGTATCTAGTCTGCTATTAAATCTGTCCAATGAGTTTTTCATCTCAGGTATTACTTTATAGTTCTAGAATGTCCGCTTGGTTCTCTTTATAGATTCTATTTCTCTGTTGAAATTCATCATCTTTCCCTATTATATATTTTTCTCCCATCTTTTCCTCTATTTTATTTAATTTATTTATTATATTTATAATAGTTAATGTTGTTTGTCAGCACCAAAACTGGATCGTCTGCAGGTCTGTTTCTATTGACTGAGTTTTCTCTTGATTATAAGTCACATTTTCCTGCTGCTTTGTGTATCTTAAAATTTTTAATTTCATGCCAGACATTGTATATAAAAAGAACATAGAGACTGAAGTTGATGTTTCCCCCTGGAGGAAGCATGTTCTTTCGTGTTAGGCATTTGGATTAGCAGTTGATCACCTCAGTCCAGTCAGTAATTGAACTAGGCTGGGACAAGGTTGCAACTTTAGATAGACTTAGCTTGCCTCATGTTTCAAAATTCTTGATAAGAAGAACTGTCCTGTTTTGATTGCAGGCCTTTCCCTCCAGTGAGACTGTCTTTGGGTGATCTGGTTTGATTCCATTCTGCCTTTCCAGAATGCACTACCCCAGCACTCAGCAAAAGTTTTGTAGAGGAAAACCAGATATACATTCAGTGCTCCTTCAGATTCTTATCTGTCTTATCTATCACACTAACCCTACTTGTCCATGAAAAACTCTTCTAGTTTGTCTTTGCCCAAGCAGCATGCCTTTGTCTATGGCAAGCTGGATACTAAGCCCATGCCTAGACTTGGCAAATGCCCCTAGGGAGAAAAAAAGCCTCTTCCTTTTCTGGGATTTAAATCTTCTTTCTGTGTCCACAGCTCTCTGATAACTTTTAAAAAAAAATGTGATATTTGTAATTTATTTGTCTTTTCCTGGTTATTATGGTGGGAGCAGTATTCTGCCCCTACTTAGGCTTCTGTCAAAACTGGTAGCAGAAATCCTTCACCATTTAACTTTCTGATACGTATAGCAATATTTTCTTCATATAAGCAGCTCTAATTTCCAACAAAAGCTATGTGGCATTTCTTGAAATTTCCTGATTATCCAGCTTTTAACTTCCCTTAAATAATACATATGCTATGTGATTATTCTGTGTTTACAGCGCTGAACTTGTTACAGACAAGTAATCATTTTAATTTTATCTGCTTGGCAAATGCAGGTGTATCTGTTGCTGATCGGGAGGCCAGTCTGGAATTAATTAAGTTGGACATATCCCGTACCTTTCCGTCTCTCTACATCTTTCAGAAGGTGAGGGTTTCTAACCTGCTTATAACTATATTAAAAGAAAAATCTTTTAATATCCAAGGGAACAAATTCTCAAAATGCATAGCTATAATTAAAAAAAAAAAAAAGGGCAAAGCTATAAAAATAGGAATCTTTATATAAAATGTGTGAAGCTAGTAGGAAAAAGTTAAAGGAATTTCTATTATTTTATTCCACTGATATTGCAGTTAGCATAGCATACATGCCTTTTATGAAGTAGATACTTGATGAATTTTCAATAAGATGAATTTCTTTGTTTTATTTTTTATTTTGCTTAGTAAATCATTAACATATAGAAAAATTTGTCCCCCAACTTAAAGATTTTCAGCACCTACCTTACAGAATTTCTATTGAAATAAGAAGAAATGTTTATTTTTTTTGTACTGAGGCTGCTATGAAGTTGCTTATACTTTATGATAAAATAATACTTTATGAGAAAAGATTGCATTTATATGTACTTTTCACCTGGAATTCCTGTATCTTTAGATTGATAAAATGAGATAAAACTTTTTACTGTTAAGATTAAAATTATTAATACAGCTTAATGTAGTGTAGCTTGATGGTTTTCTTTTGCTGAAATTGCATTATATAAAATGAAACAGCCTATATTAATCATACACTTGTGCTAAATCTACGTCTTTAAAATTGTACACAAACTATGTAGATTGTATCCATCAAGTAGGTTTGGCTTTTTTTGTTGTTCAGGATTAAATTTTTTTTTTATTAATACTTTAGATAACACTTAGAATATTTTTGACAATGTTAAATACACTAAAACAAGTAGTCATTTAGGAAATGTTAGAGCTTATTAACATGCTGTTTGAGAATTACAACGATTATTTGTATAGTTTCAAATTTCGTTTTTCTCTCCTAAGGGTGGCCCATATCACGATGTCTTACATAGTATCTTAGGGGCATATACATGTTACAGACCTGATGTTGGTTATGTAAGTATTTGTTTCAATCTGTTTTGTTTTTTTTTTCCCCCTTAAATATAAACATTTTATCTGTATCTTAGTGTTGTATCATCTCCCAAATGTCTGTATCTCTATGTCTTTCGTATTGAGTTCATCGATTCACCCGGAGGGCGATCTTCCAGTCTCCTGCCAGGGGCTTATAAGATTGGCTGCCAGCTTTTTGTGAGGGCAGCTGGGGATTTCACCATTCAGTATGTAAACTTTTTATTTAATGCCCCTCTTACTGGTGTGGTGCATTATCCCCCTCTTCCCAACCCAGCTTTCCCTGACTGTGCCTCTAGGGAATACATCTCTTACATTCTGCCAGGGTAAAGGAAAAATAGGCACCTTCCCATAAAGGATAGGGGAGGGGATTTGCTCCTTTTTACAGACTTTCAACCAATCCTATTTTTAGCCTTTCCCCTCAGTTTCTGAGGTACCTGATAACTTCAACTCCTGAGCCTTCCAGGGTTTTGTGGCTGGGTTTGGCTTGCTGCTTTTTGGCTTCCTCCTCTGCAGATGTTCAGTTTCAACATTTTCCACTTTGTTAACATTTCCCAAATGCTATTGACAGCTTTTATCTACTGTTTATCTCCTCTCCCATTCTATTTGACCTCCTAGGTTAATATTTATTTTTTTCTTTACTGTCATTTTAGTTGAATTTTGGGAGGGAACAAAGAAAAATGTGTGTTCAGTTTGCTGTGTTTAAGCAGAAGTCACAAAACTTTCATCTTCTTACCTTTACCTTAAAATAGAGAAATTTTAGAGAGCTTACTGTAGGGTAGCTATCTGGTACAACTCACTTTGTTCTGTTGCATTTTCCTTTATTCATTTTTCATTCATTTGTGTACTCAACAAATATTTATTGTGTGCTTATTACTATATCTACCCAGGAGTTGTTCTAGGCACTTGGGATACTTCAGTAAACAAAAGAAAAATTTCTTTCCTTATGGCACGTAGAGTTTAGAAGGAGGATACAGACAGTAAACAACAAATATAATAAATTAGTAAATCATATGTTGTATTAAAAGGAGATAAGTCCTATGGAAAATGTATAGCATGGTAAAGGGGGAAAGTGCTAGGTTCTAGGGGAGGGGTGTGTGCGGGCTGCAGTATTAAAGAAGATAGTCAGATAGTCTTTATGGAGAAAGTGAGATTTGAGCAAAGACTTTCTTCAAAGTCTCTTAATCATGTACTCTGTAAAAGAATTGTGAAACTGTGTATCCTCTTCATGTTTTAAGCTTGACATTTAAATTTTTCATAAGTTTAAATAATTGCAAAGGATTTAATTTTTAGCACTTGTTAAATATTGACATTTTAAAATCAAACTCGTGTCACTTTTTAAAAACCACCCAATGGAATTAAATACGATAGTGATTTTATATAGACCATCCATTTAAAGAGAAATACATGAATAAGCTCTTCATTAATATTTTAAATTGTTGCTTTTTTTCCTCTGAACTTGTCTTTCTGTTTCATTTCTCCCACAGAATTTTATTCTAATATAATTTTGCTTGGAAGTCTTTTAGTGATTGCCTTATTGTACTTTTGCTACAAATACGTACTAGTATCATTTGCCATTGAGTTGATTCTGACTTATGGCAACCCCATCTGTGTAGAGTACAACTGCACTCCATATGGTTTTCAATGGCTGTGACTTTTTGAAAGCAGATCACCAGGCCTTTCTTCCTAAGTGCCTCTGGTGGGTTCAAATTGCTGACCTTTCAGTTAGTAGCTGAGCGCTTAACCGTTTGTGCCACCCAGGAACTTCACAAATACGTAAATGAATTAAAATTTAAAAATTAGTTTTATTTCTAATGTCCATAATAGCCTAAATATTAAAAGTTTTTCTTCTGATTTGTGCTATAATTATAATTAGTACACCACTGATCAAAACAACAAATATACTAGAGAAACTGGATAATTGATAAATACAAAAATAAAAAAAAATTTTTTTAATGATCTCCGAGGATGACTTAATTAGGTCTTCCTTCAATTTTATTTAAAACAGAAGACTGTTAACTAACTGAATTGCAAAAAAAATTTGTACCAATCATTAAAATCATTCATTTTCTGTTTCTGCGAAGTGAATAAAGAAAGCCTTTATTGAGACTAAAACCTATTACTTATACCCATTACACTTCCACTTAAAGGGCACTTTGTTTAACTGATATACACAGAAAAAGTTGGGAAAATTAAAATACTGTTGCTATTATTACACTTTTGGCAATGTTAATTTTGACATGTTTTCATTGCATTGTATGCTTTTAATACATATTTTACGCTGGAACTGAAGAGTTTTTAGCAATTACAAATTGTACTAGAAAACATATTTCATGATGTGATTGGATAAAATAGGTTTTTAACTACCTTGATGAATAACACATGCTAAATCTAGAAATAAATAAAACAAAAGTTTTATCTGTGAGTTTTATTCAGTGTATCTTGAAAAAAAAAATTGGTAATCTTGGTTTACATCCCAGTTACATTTAAAAGAACCACTAGCACCAATATGTACTGCTTTTACCATTCTCTTTATTTGTTCTCTTGGGACTTTTCTCTCAAGGGCTACGCATTCTTTGATAATAGATGTGATATGGTAACTAAATGAAAATTGTTATTACTACTCTCTATTCTACTATATAATGGAATTCAGTTTTATATATATAAGAATGACAGGAAGGCAGAAGCTTTCAGTAGACCATTATTTAGGATTATCCCTCTGTTTCAGGTTTCATGTCTCAGAGAAACGGGTGGGGACTAGGTAAGTTTTGGAATGGGTGAGGACTGTGACTTTCACTTGCTGCTGTGAATGCAGTGACACTGTCAGGTATCATGTTAAGAAAAGAATACACGTGTAAGGTGAAGATCTGGAAATGGATTCCCTTAAAATCATCCATGCCTGTGTACTCTTTGAAAAAAGTCTGTATGTATCTCCAAGGGTACATTTATCCCAGTTGTAAGAGCACGACTGTTTAGATTGTTGAATTATATTAGTTTTCCACTGTAAGAAAATGGTTATAGATCACTTTCGGATGGAGCAAAAATCTTTGGAGGCTAAGCAATAGAGAGGCCCTTATAGTATTTTGCTTACCTCTGCCTCTCCTACCTTAGTGCCTGTTTATGAATGCTTTGGTTGTGAATTGTGGCAATGACTCCCTCATCTGGCTTTCAGTTTTCAGTCCAACATCTCCATCTTCTTACAAGATATATCTACTTGGGTATCCTGTAACCATAAACACATATAAAGATTCTTCATCATCTTTCAATATCTGGGTCCCAGCTTAACGTCTGATTTCTGTGATTCCAGATTCCATCATTTTTGCAATTATCAAGACTCAACCACTACCATCACTCTTTTTCTCTCATTTATAATTGTCCACTGATAAATCCAATTAATTCTTCCTTTAAAATGTTGCTTTCTGGTGGCATTATGAAAAGATCCTGGGCTCTAGTAGCAGACAGATTTGGTGATTTGAAACAACTCTGCTGGTCGTGAATTTTGTGATTTTGGGATGATTATTTTACTTCACAGAGCTCATTTTCTCATCTATAAAATGGATATAATGCTACCTCAGATGATTGTTTGGATAAAGAAGTAATTGTATGGTACCTCATACATAGTAAACAGTATATGATAGCTATTTCGTTGAGTTAGAGATGCACATTGTAAAACATTTTATCATCTCTGAATTGGGAATGCATCTTATAGTCATCAGTCAGGCAGCAGTTGGGACGTGGCTTTCATTGCCTGTACAAACATTTCAAAATTTGCAGATTGGTTGTCAGTGGCTTGCAAGAAAACCCAAGACTTAGGAATGGAGCCCACTTAAACGCTGCATAATCAGTGCTTTTGTTCGCACTAGGAAAGAAGAGAAAAACAGACATCAGTGATTGAGTCGATAAATAATACAGAATATTTAGAGGAATTGGACTTTGAAAAGTAGAGATAACTTTATTTTTTCTTATTTTCCGTTCATCTGTGTACAATAGTGATACATGATAAATCTGAATGAGCTTTAAATAACTCCGAGTATACATAAAATAAAAATTCTAAGATAAGGAAACATTGTGTCCCCGTTTTATTGACAGAATTTTTTCTTTTTTAGTGGTACGTAAAATAATATGTCCTATAATGAACAGCATGTTAGTTCAATTAAATATATTTTTAATCCGTTCTATTTGCTTTGCTACCATTCTGTTATGTTGTTGTTGTTGTTCGGTGCCGTCGAGTTGGTTCTGACTTCTTTACAGCGACCCTATAGGACAGAGTAGAACCTGTCCCATAGGTTTTCCAAGGAGCAGCTGGTGGATTTGAACTGCTCACTTTTGGTTAGCAGCCAAGCTCTTAACCACTTACTTTGACCCTTTATCCATTCAGCAAATATTGTAGTATTAAGAATATAGAGGTGACACTTTGAGTCAAACAATGGTCCAGATAAACTAGTAAGACCATTTTGCTCTGGGTATTGTGCCTTTTTTTTTTTGGTGGAAGTATTCAGTTTGTTTTGGGAAACTGACACCAAAGATCAGACTGAGAGTTATGTTTAGGGTAAATCAGCAGCTGGTTTAATTAGTCTTCAAGACAGTGTCTTGAGATGCCTGTCTAATGTTTGTAATCAAACTCTCACCCTCTTACTATGCAGAAAATTATGTATCTTAAAGAAACCAGGTTCTCAGAGGAGATGACCTCATGGCTCAGACTCCATTTTGTCACAGGTTCCATTTCTGCTTCTGAGAAAGTGACCTATGACTGTTAATTAGTAAACCAAGAAGGAGCAGCTTGCCCTTGGGAAGAACACTTAGTATGTTTTAACAGATCAGCTGGAGACCTCCAACAGGAGAAGTCCATCCTGTATTATGTTGTTAATCATGAATTCTCTAATGGAAACCTGGTTGTCACATGTAAATTTTTCTATACTTTCTGTTTTCTCTAGACAAAATTTGTGTGCTCCATATGGATATGTGGTAGATCCAATTTAGATGATCCC